ATTTACAAATTTCTGCCTATTGTGACTCTGATTGGGCCAGTTGCCCCAGGTCCCGTCGGTCTGTTAGCGGGTATTTTATCATGTTAGGAACCTCTCCGGTATCCTGGAAGACAAAGAAGCAAACCACTGTTGCGAGATCGTCTGCAGAGGCAGAGTACAGAGCTATGGCAAATGCTTGTGTGGAAGTCCGTTGGATGCGAGGAATTTTACTAGCCTTGGGAGTTCCTATTTTATATCCTCCCCGATTATACTGTGACAACCAGTCCGCTTTATATATTGCAGCTAATCCTGTTTTTCATGAACGAATGAAGCATGTGGATGTTGATTGTCACACAGTTCGAGAAAGTGTCCAGCGGCATGAGGTGTCGACACGATATGTTCCTACTCGATACCAGTTGGCCGATATTTTTACTAAGCCGTTGGGCAAACCTAGTTTTGATTTTTTATTGTGCAAGTTGGGCATTCAGGATCTTCATGCACCAACTTGAGGGGGAGTGTTAGCGGGTATTTGTAATTTTGGACTGTAATTAGTTTATCGGGCCCACTTGTAACCCTAAGCCCGCTTGTACTTGTATATATACACTTGCTTGTGATTAGTAAAATCAGATCAGTTTTACTCTAAATTTTACATGGTATCAAAGCCAGTTTTAGCCCACCTCATTTGTCAAGGTGTCCGTCTAGACGTTCATTCCTAGCGGTCCGTTTGTCTTTAGCCCAGTTGCCCGTGTGGAGTATGTACCCAACGGCCTGTGGCCTGTTTAACACGATTGCTCGTCTGGAAGTCCATACCCAGCGGCTCGTGGTCCTTTCGGTGTTGGAGCTCAAAAAAAGTCAAGGGAATGGTAGTTCATTTGCAAGTGGTCAACCGGTTAGATTCAAAATGGCCCGGTTGTCCACTTGAGGGAGAGTGTTAAGAGTATCCCACATCGGAAAAGTGTGAGGAAAATAATCACTATATAAGCTCTTGAGTTGAACTAACTAATCGATTGGATTCAATCTTTTAATGCGGTTCAACCTAAGTGTCTTATTGCCCCAATCCAGTTATCTTTACCTCATCCTAAATTTTATCAAGATAAGTGTGAACTTAAATTATACGGGATAAATATAATGGGAAAGATAGGGTGTGTTTAAAAGTTTTTTTTTAAAGAGCATAATTGCTAAATAGGCATAATGCATGCACCCTATTATCAGCTTTGTGGTCGTACTATAAAGGGGCTGGGCTTAGCTTAGTAGGGTCTCGTTGATCCATTGTCTTTTTCCTGATTATTACTTGTAATTATTTTGAGAGTGCATATATATAGGGTTGCATGAAATAAACCTACATTATTAATTATGGGTTAATCATGCACGGCTTGTGTTAATCATGTACGTAATCTTCTAGTTTTGGAAATGCTAATTCCGCCTGTTTGGGAATAGCGTTAGAGATCAATGTAACGTTTTGATCGAAAAAATTATCTACGAGCAGTGTTTAGCATTAGCATTTTCAGTGTAATCTGCACCGTTAAAATTTTATTCAAAATATTAACGTTAATCTCTAACGCTATTTCTAAACAGGCCCATTGTCTATCGCCTCCGGCCCTATTTTTGTGGTTGGATCCATAATGCATGATCACAACTAATTATACAGCTCCTTCATCCTAAAATTATGGTCTCACATGGAACAATGTTCAAAGTTTTGTATGGAATGAGTTTTACATAATCTGAAATTTTTGGATATTCAAATTTTTGGATCGGTGGATTGATCCGATTGAACGCCCCTAACTTGAATATTGTGATAATAACATGTGCAGGTGAAGAACGAAGGTAAGTGATCTGAAATATGATTGTTATAACTTAGTTGTTGTTATTTGATAATTGTTATGAATTACTATTGTATTACTTGTGCGCATGATATTGTATGAAGTTATGAGCTAGTTGTTTCGTCTATGTGCATACTCGAAACGTTATGTATTTCTCACTTAGCTTCAATGCTGAGCTTGTAGCCCTTTTCCTATTTGCTACGCGCAGGTAAATGGAAGTGACGATTAAGGAAATAGTTCCGGAGGGCAGCGAGGGCGAATTAAGAGATTGATGGATGCTAGATGGAGGAATTTAATTATTTAATATTGCATTTGAATTTATTATGTTTTAAGGGTAAGAACCCAAGTTGTATTTTGAATTAATTATTAAAAGCTTTCGCACCGTTTTATAATACTCCCATGGATATTTATTTAAATATTTTTTTGAATTAAATATTCTAAATTGCTTTAAAAATTATTGTGTTTAGGTCTCAATTTAGTAGCAGTCCTGTTCGCTAACTCGTTGGTTCAAGCGACGCTGGTTGGGGTGTTATTCAAAGGAGAGTAAATGTTAACTTCAACTCTAGGTCACCTAAGAGTCATAAAGCTACGTGAATAGGAATTGACCCAAACTTATATGCCACATCCAATCAACACCGCGATATTGTTCCAGATATCGAAGTCCAGCTAGCATTGTGTCCACCACCAGAGCTGTCTGCTCCATTTGTTGTCGTCACTTGTTACCAATATTACATCATCTTTAAGAAGAACACAATTGCGACTTGCAAATTCACAAACTCAAAAAATAAGTTCAATCCAATCCTAAACAAAGTATTAGTTTAAGTGCCTACTTGGTACAGGGTACTTCGATAAAACAACCAAGTTTGCTGAATTTTATGAAAGGAAAATGTTCGGTAAAGTACTCCGTACTAAAGTCCATTATCCACCTCTATGAATTTGTCCAATACTTGCTCACTTTTAAACCAAAAGTTACATTAGTCGAAATAAAGAAGACATTACTAAAATACTCCGTATTACTAAATTCTACTCCTTCCGTCCGAAAATGTTCTTCACATTTGACTTTTCTTGGTTAAAGCTTATAAACTTTGACTACGATTTGTGGAAAAAACGTACTGTATTATGATGCAAATTTAATATTAATATATTCATAATGAAACATAGTTTTCAAATATCAAATTTTTATAAAATATATCTATGTACAAATATAGATTTTAATGGTCAAAGTGCAATATTGGAGACCGTGAAAAGTCAAATGGGAAGAACATTTCCGGACGGAGGGAGTAATTAATGTATATTTAATTAGCCTTATTTAAATGTGTAAAGAGAAACATGTAAAAGAAATACCTAAAAAGCAATCTTCATATGTATAAGCATGATTTGTAGTTATAGTTTTCTGAATCAAACAATGAGCAACATCAAATATACCCTCTTAAGAACCATCAATGCCATTCATTGTTGCCTAAGGCATGTCAAAATAACACTAATTAGAAATCAATGTTTTACCTCAATAGTATATACAACCACTTGATTATGAATTATTATAAGAGTATTAAAAGATCTACAAAACTAGCTAGTGGCGGCATGACTATTTTATTTTATCAAATGACTAAATAAAATACATTTCCCTTAAATAATCTAAAAGTCAAACCGAAAAACTTTTAAGTATATAACAAGGAAAAATCATTAAGTACCAGGGGTATTTAATTCAAATGAACAGTAATTATAAATCATTGCCTTTAATTAAGATTGTGCCTATATATTTTTAACATCAACAATAAGGAATTAAATACCGAAAGAAGACTTTCTTTAGTTCTTTCAAGGAAAAATTATCCAAAATAATCCCAACTTTACCCGGTCTTTTAAAAATAATCCCACCTTTCACTGTAATGCATAATAATCCCAACTTTATTGAAATTTGCCAGTTTTGGGTCGCCGTTAAGTTTCTAACGGAGGGTTAACGGAAATGCCCGTTTTAGGCAACAAAATGAAAGTTGGGATTATTTTTGATGAATTTTTGTTTTTTAATTTTTTTTTGAAATTTTTATTTAAATTTTTTGAGTTACTTTCAACCTCCATTTATTTTTCTTTTTTAAAGATTATTCTTACCTTAGAAAAAATAGATATAAACATAATGAAAATGAGAAAAATAACTAAAACTATACAAAATTAATCAAATAAATAATGTAATCAATATAAATTAAACAGAAACTGGTAAGAAATAAAATAAATATATACGGAGTGGTGTGTTTTAACATTTTACACGCTATACGGAGTCTTAATGTACTACTTATTTTTTAAATGAACAAGCCGTCCGGTAAAGTTAGAATTATCGTAGATAATTTTTTCTAAAAAATAAGAAGTGATATGTTAATACTTTGTATAATGCGTAAAATATAAAAACCCACCCATATATTTTTGTTTTACTTTTACCAATTTTAAGTTAGTTTCCATTGATTACCTTATTTATTTTATTATTTTTGTATCATTTTAGTTACATTTCTCATTTTTTTCATTTTTATATCTATTATTCTTATTTTTTAAACTAAGATTAATCTTTAAAAAAGGAAAAAGAAATGATAATGGAGGTAGAAAGTAGTTTAAAAAATTTAAATGAAAAATTTAAAAAAAAATGAAAATTCATCAAAAATAATCCCAACTTTCATTTTGTTGCCTAAAACGGGCATTTCCGTTAACCCTCCGTTAGAAACTTAACGGCGACCCAAAACTGGCAAATTTAAGTAAAGTTGAGATTATTATGCATCACAGTGAAATGTGGAATTATTTTTGAAAGACCGAGTAAAGTTGGAATTATTTTAAGTAATTTTTCCTTCTTTCAAAGATTTTCTTTACATACTCCGTATTTTCTTTGTCATACAGACGAAGTATTACGTGTCAGGCCGTGTCACATTAGGTCTCGTAGAAGTGCCACACAAGCCATGCCAAGTAAACCATGCCACATAAGCAATGCGCCTCTGTAAACCGGGACCCCTATAAATAAGAGGAACAGTTTCAAAATTAATAGCGGGGGTTTCCGTTCCTTCTTTGATTCGGCGATTTCAGTATGAGTTCCTGCTGCCGTTCAAGGCTCGTATTCATGTGGTTGTTGATTGTCTTCTCCGTCGTAACACTCACAGACGGAGAATCTTCGACATGCCTGACGGTGTACGAAGAAGGCGGCGCGCCGGCGGTGTTTCTGTCCCCAAAGTGCCCTCGCTGGAAACTCTCGAATCAGGGCTCCGAATCATGGCATCATCCATCGCCCAAATCCGGCTGTCACGTGGCCTTGCATCAAGGGCGCCGCCAGCATCTGGAAGACCGCGCCATCTGCGCTCTAGACATTCGCGTTCCTTTCCTCGGTAAAATATATCATCTATTCTTTGTATATCTTGCTGGTTTCTACATGGTATTCAAATATAAGCTGGTGTAACCCTAGTATTTGCCACGATTTGATTTTGGAATTGAATTCGAGAAATATAAGCTGGTGTAACCCTAGTATTTGCCAGGATTTGAAATGGCATATTTCGTTTATTGTGGCAGGCCCAAATGGCATCACTGAGGTCACAGTTGGTATTATTGGAATATTTGATGGCCATAAGGGTGCTGAAGCAAGTGAGATGGCATCAAAGTTGTTTCTCGAGTACTTTACAGTGCACACCTTCTTTCTACTCGATACAACCTATTCTCTCCTATTGAGGAAATTAAGGGGATGGCTGCCGAACGGAAGGAGAGATAATGTACTTCAAGACTTGAAGTGGGATGAGGAATTGGATCATCATCATCTCAAATTTGGGCGGTAGTGCATTCTCTCTCCCACTATGTTTAGTTACTTTTTTTTTTAGTTTGAGAGTTGTTATGGCGTTGGAATTGACTGAATGCGAATTCAGTGTTTGTTACTGTAAATTCAAGCATTTTTTGAAATCCGATATCTACATTGAAATCTAAGAGTGCCTGGGATGTATATTGAACCCTTCTTATTCTTATAGGTTTAAGCTGAGTTTGTCATCAGTCTTTGATGAATCTTTTTCATTACAAATATTCAAAGAGGCAGTGCTAAGAGCAATTAATGACATTGATGCATCATTTTCAATGGTGAGTCTTTAATGGTTTTTAGTGGACTAGTGACTTTATTAATGTTCTGCTGCTGCTTTTCGCTGATGTTTACTTTTTCTCTGAAGGATGCTTTTAGAAACAATTTTGATTCTGGATCTACTGCCACAATTGTACTTTTGGCAGAGAATCAGATTTTTGTGGCCAACATTGGCGATTCCAAGGCATTTTTGTGCTCTGAGGAGAATAAAAGTGCTAAAGAGGCTCGAGGTATGAGCTCACTAGACAAGCGAGTAGGCAATGATTGCTTCCGTATAAATAAGATGATTACTTTAATATTACTTGCCTTCACATAAACACGATTCTTGGTTCCTAACGATCGCTATTCATCTATTATTATGGGATAGTGTAAAGAGTAGATTGCGCCGAGTATTTACTTGAACGAACTCTTAATTTGCAGCTGCGTTATTGAGAATGTATAGGCAGACACGAATGGATGGGATTTTTCAACCCTTCAGAAATTATCGCACATTTGAATCAGAAGTTTCAGATCGATGGTCGCCATTTTCTGCTAAGGAGTTGACTCGAGATCACCACCCAGATAGGGATGATGAACGGTCTCGAGTGGAGTCTGCTGGGGGAAGTGTCTCTGAATGGGGTGGTGTTGCTCGGGTTAATGGTCAGTTGGCTGTTTCTAGATCCATTGGGGACATATACCTGAAAAGGTAAAGCTCTTTAGGGCTCTGTTTGCACATATATATATATATTTATGCTCAAGATTTCTTACTCTAGGTCTATTTTTCCTTATAACTTTAAAGGTAGGCTTGATTTGTGTGTACCAGTTATTGTAGTGATGTTTTGCTTTGTTTTTATTGACTTTCATCTGCCTTTTTGAAATTGAAAAGTTAAAATAATTAGTAAAAGTGTAACTTCATTTAAATAGTATCTCTATCTTAAGAAGTAACTAATCATTCTTTTTATTTTCTTTGGTCTTGTCAGTTATGGTGTTATATCTGTTCCCGAGATCACTGATTGGCAACCTTTGGCAGAAAACAACAGCTATTTGGTGGCTGCATCTGATGGTGTTTTTGAACAGCTAAGCCCACAGGATGTCTGTGACATATTATCGAGCTTAGATGCAGATATCATTGTTAGGCCTGAACTAAATTCTTCTTGCATGTATTCCTTAGCAGAGTGCATAGTAAAAGCTGCTTTTGAAAAGGGAAGTACTGATAATATGGCAGCTATAATACTTCCATTTAAGTCGAAAGCGCCTTTGTATACTCTTCCTGATGTGAATTGTGATGGATTGGGTATATCTGATTGCCCAGCTTCAGGACAAGAGGATTATTCCATCGCACAGTCGCGTAAGTTGCACCATTTTTTGCTTCATAAAGCATATTGATTATTTTTAAGCTAGGCCTGAACATGGGAGACAGTAGACTTGGAGAAGATTTTATGCTTCTAATTGGACATTATGCAGTGACATTGACAAATGCACCAATGATATTTCTAATGCATCTTAGATGATTTTGAGTTTATGTACTCTAGTATCTAGGTTTGAAGATATTTTGGAGCTTATAACTCACAGGTCACATCTTAATATTGTGACTCCAAAACTTACTATTGTGGCTCCCAAAATGTATTTTACGTAATACGGAGTATAAGAAACTGTTTTAGAGAGAATGGAGTGACATTAGTCATTTTTTTGGATTGACAGTGTCCACTTCCCTAATTCTAATATATAAGATACTAATAAGTTCATGCAATGTTCGAAATTACGTATTGCGGTTTTGAGACATTTTTTTGACAAGGCGTAAGCCTCAAGGCGTATTGAGGCGTATGTTTCAACTTGAAGTTAAAAATGTGGATATTACATATTTAAAATAGAATCCATAATGCAAATAAAGAATTTACAAAAATGCAATAAGCAAACAATTGACTACAACGGCATAAACTTTTTTCCAAAAAACAGCGAACAGTCGACAAGGCATGAACTTTTCCCCCCCAAAAAAAGAAATCAATCGAGCACTTACATGCAAAAAAAAACAATCGAGCACTTACACGCAAAAAAAAAAATCGACCATAAATGTTTTTCCAAAAAAAAGTTAAAAATAACGGAGATAAAGCAAGGCAGATTTTGCTCTGGAGGGACCGAGGGAGTCGACAAAACAATTAGCAAAACATCGAGCACTTACAGGTGATGAGGGCGTTCACTTGCACAATTTTCCAGAAACTGCCATGAGGCACGCCTCAAGGCGGGATTCGCCACGCTTTTTAAAACATTGAGTTTATGGAAAGGTATTTATGCAGGACTGCATACAAGCTTTGATGGGAAATGCTAAATGCACATGCCATCCTATTAATGACTTCTTTTTTTAGTGTTACAGTTACTGCTTTTGTAGATTAACAAGAGAATTTTTCTGAGATTTTATTTCTTAAACATACATCCTTCATGGATATATAGCAACTATATATAGGTAGATAACAAACCTTTTTGTTCACTTAAGTGACTCTTAGACTACCTAAGAGATTTAGACTCACTTGATGAAGTGTCCTATACTTCTATGCAGGCACTCTTCACAAACACAAGGAGCATGTTTTAATTTGGGAATTGCAAACATTCTCCAACCAAACTACTTGTATTCTAATTTGGATAAAAGTCAATTAAATACTTGAAGTTGGTGTGACAGTGGAATTGACATGCTGAATTTTAAAAACTCCAATAAAGTAGATGAACTGAGAAAAAAGATGAATTAGGGGTGGTGTTATTAGGTTTACTTCAGGTTAACTGTGACGTGGGTTATTATTAACGTTTTTTGGCTTTCGTGGAAGTCCAGTCATAAGAAAAAAAATTGGAAGCCAGCTGTAGCCACGGTGTGGCTTTTATTTCCTTCAGGTTGCCATTGCTTTGAGCTGGAAGCCATCATTTAAAGTAAGAGGAATCTATCCAACTTCATCTCACCAGATGAGGAGAGATCCAATTAATTTTCAAAAATTGAAAATTTAAGAATGATTGCATTCCCACATAAGCCGAACAGGAAAAAGAAAATTTTATATGGAAGTCCAGTCATTATCTGTTAATATTCTGTTAAAATTGCATTTGAACTTTTCACCTAGTTAAGAAACTTGATTGAAACTGTTTTTGTTTGGGGATGCCGATTGCATTATTTTCCTACTTTGAAGGCTTAGTTGTCATTTATCTGTGTCTAATTTGAGCACGAGTCTTCTATGTGCAAAACTTTTGTACAAGTGCACAACTGAGGTTAGTTTTATTTTTTCATTTCTTATTGTGGTTTGGGGTGCTGCACTTCATACCTATATGTTTGCTCTCTCTTTAGTTGTCTTACTTCTTAGAAATGCTTCAAGTTTCAGCACTGGCGTCTGATAATGCTCTTTCTTTTAATTTGAGTATCAGAACTTGCAGAAATGAAGCATGCTTATCCTGCTGCTACCAACCTTGACAGATTATTGGTAAAACATGCACATTTACATTTTATTTTATTTTTCAGCCTGTTATTATACTAGGCTGCATGCTTGGGCCCATACATTAACGATTAATCTATAGAATAATATCTTCTTTATTGGAGGAACCTGTGACACTTTGATAGGCGGAGTTACATCATTACATGTATTATGTATGATGCATCTTCTCCCCATAAGTCATGCTCTATAGACTATAATTACTACTGACAACGTTGCACCCAAGCTGTTCGAGAACTCTTTTCCGGACTCTAGAGGTGGTCTTTTTGGGTTACTATGAAGTTCTATATTTCATAGTTTGGATCTATTTGATCATCTTTGCTTCTCCGGACTTTGTGCATGTCGGGACATTATATTCCTCTCTTTATCATTTATAGTATCATTTTTTATTATTATTATGAAGCCATTCTTTTAGTAGTACAATCCTACTTGGTTTGCTTTTATAATTTACATATCATGTTTATCACATGAAAATTGACATTTATGGTTCTGAAAATGGTCCGTTTCATTCTTGTATTAGGTTGTAGGAAAAGAAATGTGTTTCTATCTATCTGAGAACCTTGATGAATATGATGACAAAACATTCTGGATTCAAAAAGATATCTCGGAATATTCATATGGACTAGAGCATGCACTGCCTGAAAGGTCTGGTGACAGTACTGGTAAGCAATCGGTGTTGATCTGGATCTGGAAGTAATAGTTTGGGCAAGACCGCCAGAAGGTTAAATGGGCAAATTAGTTGAGCTAGTTTCCGTGCTTTTTCTCTGCTGCAATTAAAGATGGTAGAATAGCGTGAGGACTAATGAAATAAATGGACTCTGTATGGCTCCAATTCCAATCTCTTATTCTGCTTATCTGTTGACATTCACATGTCACACACACACACGCACTTTTCAGATCCCAACTTTCTTTTATTTCCATCTATTGCTCTGTAGGAGTATAGGGTACATTCTAAGTTTTGGGGTCTACTGTTGGTGACTCGTAAGTACGTGTACTAAGTACGTCTGCCTGCTTCAGCAAATATATCTAATTACTCTTTCTTCTTCCCTTTTCTTTTTTGCAGAAGGAGCTTCACTGAATCTGTATAATGATCATCATTTGTGTTTAAACTTTGGGATGAACTTTGGCGGGAATAATGATCGGTGCATAAATCCTGAAGGTTTTGCTAGGTTCCTGGGCATGCTTGAATCAATTCCATTCAATGATACATTTCCAAATGAGCATGCAGGAATAGATTCAAGGTGCTGAACTTTACTATATTTTCTGTCCTTTATGTTACATTTTTGCCAATTTTATATACAGACATATAACATTTTTCGAAGGTACAGACATATAACATATTATATGAGAAATTGCATTCTTGCCTAATTTATCAAAGACTACAACATGCTTGTTTGCAATATCGGCATATACTGTACAAACATTTTATGTGAAAAACTTATCAGCTTGGTACACATGGACATCATATTCATGCTCTAGTGCTATCTTTGATTGAGTTCATTCTGGGTTCCATTTTTTACTTTGGCCATATATGTTTGAACACCTTGATGGAGTTGGTTTAGGACAAGCAGCCTGCTCAGATGGAGTTATGTTAATAGGGTGCTAATGACTTGCATTATTTTTCTCATTTTTCGCACTCGACTTCATCTTTCGCCATTTCATCTAGTCTATTCTCCAGTATTTTAATCCTTTTTTATTCCAATACAAATAGTTTAAATTAGTGTTTTTGGAAATGTATTCCTGCGTGATAAGTTTGCGCAGGAACTTTGCCACCTTTTTTGGCATGAATTTATAGTGTTAACTAATTTTTGACCTCTAGTTGAAACCAGAAATTTCATCCCACAAACCTAGGCAGTTGGGATTAAGGTGATGCATTTATTTTGGCAAATTATTATTTTCAGGTACATACTGAAAAAACGATTTGGACGCGGATCATATGGAGAAGTATGGATGGCTTTTCAATGGAACTGTTCTCATGCCAACCAGACCTCAGAAACTGCCAAAGTTTCATTGTTTTCTGATGATTGTGACGATTGTGATACTAACTCCTTGGGTTACAAATTCATTTTGAAGCGTATAATGGTAACCTAATCTCAAATATAAAGGCATCAAATATATCATAAAAGTGTATAACCCACTCAGAAGTAGGGAATGTGGTGGGTGAGATCTACACATACCTTTCGTCTACGCATTGGAATTGAGAGGCTGTATTTGTGCAGACCTCTGTCAAATGGAAGATTTGGGAAGTTTTGGAAGATTTAAAAAATTTGAAAAGTTGGAACATTTCAAAAAGTCATTTTTTTAATTTTTGCAAAACTATTTTGGCATTAGAAACAGTTACATCTAAAGGTGAGTAGTGTGAAATATGAGGTAAAAAACCATTGGGGAAGCAAGACACTCAATAAAAAAATTGAAAACAAATAAAAATAACAAAAAAAAACACTAGTTAGATCTTCACAGAAACAACCTCTCTACTCATAGGAGTCATAGAGGTTGAGGTAATGTCTGCGTATATCTCACCCTCACCAGTCATGAAATCCTACTTCTAAGTTTCTTAGAGGATATACTTGACAATTGGGCATGTTTGGTTTGGTTTATATTTTAGTTCATATCTATTAGGAGTATTAGCTCAGATCATTTTTGTGTACTTACTAATTTTAAGTTTGATTAACATCCTACTGAGTAGTGGGCAAGCCGGCACTAACACCCCTCTTTCTCTGGCAACTCTAACGTGTGTTTCTGTGTCTTTCTACAAGCCGGCCTGGTAGCTTGTGTCATTCTCTCTGACTCCAAAGTTGGACTCTGGCCGGCACTAGCTCTCTTCTCTGTGATATAATCTCTCTGTTCCAATTTAAGTGCCGCATTGAAATATTATTGTCCACAATGATTTAACTCTATCGCATGAGGAAAGCCATATTGGTTCATAACGGACAGTAATTTTAGAACGGATGGAGTATGTGCCAATGAATATAAAGACGAGCAGCAAAGTGGGTTTTGACTAATAAGTGGAGAGGTTGTGTGTGAAAAGGCATGTCCCTCAGCCAAAGTTAAAATTCTAATTATTATCATTTCTCTAATATTTGAATCCTTAAGAAATTTACAGAAAATAATCCTAATAGCTTTAGTAAATTTTCTTCCTCCATTAAGTTCTCTAGCTCATGAAGTAGTTTCTGTAAATTTTCAGGACCGCCAATTATCTCTAGTTAATTTATTGGTTTTTCAAGGAAATAAGGGCTCAAAACCCAGAAATTAGCATTCAAATCATTTAGGCCTCCTCAGATGAAATAAACGTGGATGAAATTCTAAACCTCCAAAATAGTAATTCCGTGATTTTCTCACTTTTTACAATCCTCGAATAATTTCAACATTTATTCTGTCCATTACCTTGTTCCTAGAAACAAGTACATCTTTGGGACGGTCTTAAAAGGAAAGTAGAAAAATCTTTTTGGAAAAGAGGGAATAGAAGCTTTCGAAGTGTGTGGTATAATAATTTTTAAAACAATTTCAACATAAGAGGTTTGGTCAGACATAAGTATATCCTTTCATTTCTTCTTCTAGCTAGTATTCTTATTCCAATGTAAACTTTTTATTATGTTTTCACAATTGCTGAGATTCACTTGTATTATTCTCATTATTATTGTTATCTATTCAATACTTCTGAAGATCAACCCCTATCAATAAAAGTTTTGGTCCTGGTGATGCTTGTGCACAGAGTTCGAGCTAAAGATGGTCCTTTCCATTTCTTCTCATCTTCTACCAAACTTCATGTGGAAAACATACTCCACTATAAAAAAAGGGAAAATATTATTCTCACACCTTTGTCATATTATCAGATTGAGTTGAGAAGTCTTTCATGTTACAAAACAAAGTAATGCTTTCAGAATCTTCTTTGTTGTGCCCTAGCATAACCTAGATTCTGGTAACAGACCTTATCATGATGCATATAAATTTGTTGTGCACACAGGTTCTAAGTATCTTTGCCCATGCATCATCAGGACTTAGAACATGTTTACTGTAATCAATAATCAGTTTACTTTATAGTTTATTCTATCATTAGATGAAAGCTATATGTTTACATTGCTAAACCTTTATCAAAAGCTCATTGTATCAATGTCATGTTCTGCCCTGAAATTCTGGAGATGTGCTAATCTCTTGAATAGTTGCTGTTAAAAGGTTGAAAAGGGAGCTACTGTATATCTAAGTGGGCTAAGAGAGAAGCATTTTGGAGAACTTTTCTTGAATGCATCTACTCTTCTTGGAGGTCCATTGTCAGCCAGAGGATCTTGTTTCTCAAAAGATGCATATCCAGTGCCACGTGGACATTTAGTAGAAAGTAATTTAGTTGGTTGGAAACTGAATGAGTTTTGGAATGCTGAGAATACTTATGTAAGAAGAAATGAAGTAATGCAATCTACCAATGAAGAAGGTCTTGATCACATTGCAAGATATGTAGAATCCTTAGAGTCTCGATCTAATGATATATGGCTTGTGTTCCGGCATGAAGGAGTATCCTTGTCAAAGATTTTGTATACAGCAGAAGAAGTAGTAAGTAGTTCAGAAGGAATGGGAAATGAACAAGTGAAGAATGTTCAGATATTACATCCATCCAAGTGGTGGCACTGGTTGAAGACAACAGAAGCAGGGCAAGAGGAAATGCGCAACCTTATATGGCAATTGGTATGGGATATTGCAATTTTCGTAGCTCTAGTTTTTATACCTTCAACGTAGTTTATGGTCCTGGTTTGTTATATGAATCTCCAACTACTAACATTCCATGGAATTCCTTTGTCTTACAATCAACAGCACCGTTCTCAATGACATTAGCATGCATAGATCACATAGTAAAATTTTTTAAGGGTAAACTAATTTTATATTCTAAGCTGGTTGAGAATGCACTTTGTGAGATCCAACATGGTGGGCTTCTATATACTGCAAACCGATGATCGTAAGGAATTCTTTAAAGAACTGAGTCTAAATTTTAGAGGCACATTAAAATTCCCTTGCTTCTTAGTCTCTCCGTCCCATTCACTTTATCCGCTTCATTTTTTGCACAAAGACCAATAATGGGGAATAAAAATTGGGTAGTGACCTATTGCCATTGGTTGAATAGATTGGGAGTATTAAGTTTGAAAAATAGGGGTAAAATGGTAATATAAGCATTTATTTTTTTGTCATATAAGGAAAAAGAACAAACTTTTTGGGACAAACCAAAAAAGAAAAGTGGACGAACTGATCGGGATGGAGGGAGTACTTTCTATGAAGTTTTGGGAAGTAAATGCATCAAGGGAATAATGGAAGCAGTTTCTTTGTTTTTTTAAAAGGTTAAGGTTGCAGGCATCTTGACCCCCCAGAGTCCAAAGAAGTTGGGATTATATTGTGTTTGTTGTTGGTGTTGTTGTTAACACCATTTTGCACACCTATTAGATGCAACATCTTTATGGAGTTATCCTTATAATCATTCTATCTACTTTTCTTTTTCTTCAGCTTATTGCACTCAAGTCTTGTCATGATCGCAATATCACACATAGAGATATTAAACCTGGTATGAACCTCTAGATACATCATTTATAGTTACTTGTGGCCATGTGGATCAGATTTCTTGTGCTCTCCAGCATATTAAGAAGATATAAATATATAACACAAAATAGTGATAACCTGCAATGTAAAAAATAAGTGGTGAGTGGTTAGGATCTTATTGTCTAGATTGGTGTTATTGTTGCTCGTTTACATCAAGATGATCGTTAGAGCATAGTGATTGAACATCCAATGAGGATTAGCTGCGTTAAATCCCTCTTATTCCATTCAAAACTTGATTTTTAGTGGTAAGCACTAAACAATATAGAATACCATTAGCATCTAGCTTTGAATCACACATACATCTGATAACTTTCTTATTTCCTTTTATCTTTAATGATTTTCTTATTCTTACAGTTATTTACCTGAACTTCAACTTTATGGTTAGAGAATATGGTTATTTGCTTCGAAGATCAGGATTCTGGGAGATGCTTGAAAGGATATCCAAGTGGAGATCATAATTATACCACAAAAATGTAATTGAAATTATATATTACCACAATATGGTTTATTGACGTAGTCTTCTGTATAGTGCTTTTACTGAATATTAGTCATTTTTGTAACCTTGCTAAAATTTAAAATTGGATGACTCTATTCCCATATCATTCTCTAAAGCTGCAACGGCTGCTTCATTAGGGTATATAATGTTTGTATTCCCTACGTCATAAATACTGTACAGAGTAACACATTTACTATCATAGGAAAATGTTTAGGTTGCTGCTTTTATGGATTTAGTCTATCCAAAGCATTTTTAATACTGCCAACTCTTATAAGGATTTTGGTACATGAATATTTTAGCTGGATCTCATAATAATTCCATATTCAGATTTTCTTTCAAAAATGGTTTTCTCAACATCATTCATAATCACAACTAACATTTCCTCTCAAACTGGAAACGGTTTGGGTGCTGCTTTTATGGATCTGTGTGGGTCTGTCTAATGCAACTCACGATATTGCAAATTCCTAAAAAGCTAGCTGACTTGATTTATAAGGGACAAATATTAGTATATTGTTGATGTTTCTACTAGTCAGAAGCCATAGAGCTCCAAAAGAATTAAGTTCATTCCCTTGCAGGATTCACTACTAGATTATGCACCAATCCTTGATTTACTCACAAAATTAAATTCATGTAGTATATGAATAACGTGTATTGTATTCTTCTAGCTTGTCTTAATGTGTGTTCTATAATTTATTAGGCGCATTATTGACTTTGGCAGTGCGCTGGATGACTTCACATTGAAGCACCTATATGGGTCCCTTGGACCGTCAAGGTATTTTACTAAGATATCATTCCTTTTAGTTGTATTAAAATCATTAAGATTTCATGACATAAAGTGGTTGACTGGTTGAGAGTTGATAGGTTTATATTCCGACATGCTTTTCAAACATGGTTGGGGGAATTTGTAAATTTTTCGTATTGTCTAAAGTTAATAAACAAGCTGCATACCATACCTTCATGAAAAAAAATAGTGACAATGTTTTACACGGCATGCCTTTTATATCACAACCTTTTGATCAATGAGCAGAAATTATACAATCACCAACATTGTAATATTTTTCCACTTAATCTTTTATTTCATGTATTGATTCCGATATAGGTTGGATTAAGGTGATGGTGACTGCATACTTATTCATGTTTCTATTCTTTCAGGGCTGAGCAAACTTGTGAATACACTCCACCTGAAGCCTTTCTTAATGCCAGCTGGTACCAAGGGCCAACTACAACAAATCTAAAGTATGCCAGTTTCATACGATCTACTACTGGATTTGTGTTTGGCTGATTACCTTTTGTCTTCTTTCTTCCTATTATATTCACTGGCTAGGGGATGTTTGAGTATCAGATAATTTACTTGGAATGTATTAATGTGTAGATGAGGGTCCAGGCTGCAAGTTACATTTGAAACTAGAATTTTAGGCTTGCACAATCTCATGTTTATGTATTGAGACAAATCATAGCGACATAGGTATTGAGTAATGAATGATGCACTTTCATCAGGCATAAATACGACCGTTAAGTAAAATCTTGTGTATGAAGATCAAAAGTAACTTCTTATAAATATCAAACTCATTCCAGGGAAAAGGAATACGGTAAGAAACCTAGTTCCTACTGCAGGTTAGTTTCCCAATGTGTAATATACTCCAATTCGTATTCAAGCTCTAATCTGTTATATGAAAAACAGTGTTATGATATCTTCTCCCTCCCCTCACCAAACAAAACAAGGTGAATAAAGTCAGATTTGATTTTTTATGAACTCCCTCACATCTGACTTGCGTGGCTTATCTTTAAGTGTTACCCATGTTCGACAGGTACGATATGTGGAGTGTTGGGGTTGTGATGCTGGAACTAATACTTGGATCACCTAATGTGTTCCACATAAGTTCTAGGACGCGTGCTCTTTTGGATCAACATCTAGAAGGTTGGAGTGAAAGCTTAAAGGAGCTCGCCTTTAAGTAAGTTTGGAATACAACACCGACAACAACCATTCTTAAGTGAAATCACCTGGTTCTTCTACATAAACTAATGGATAATCTATCGAGGTCATCCACTAAAAGCTTCTGTTTCTACTCCTTTATGGCTCGCACCATGTGTTCTTGATGCCATAATGTCTTCTTTTGACACCCTCTATGTATGTCATATTCGACCAACCAAGACTCTTTTTAATTCTCTACCAATTGGATACACCAAAATATCTACTTTTCTTATGCATATACTTCAAAGTTCAAACAGTTGCACATACGGAGTAACATTTTCTCATCTAATTTCACAGCAATTTGTATATATTGTTAATTTGTTACTGATGCTAAATTTGCACCCTAAATACTTCCTTTTATAACTTTAGCTTTATCTCTTCAACTTGACAGTTATCCTTTTTTAGAAATGTGAGACTTTGATCACCATGTAATTTGATCTTGAACAGACTGAGATCATTCATGGAATTGTGTATCCTGATCCCTGGGAGTTCTTCAAAGGCTCGCCACTCTAGGGCTACAAATGACCCTGTAAGTGACTAAGTTCAACCATTTTTAGTTTGTGACAGGCAAATGGGCGTGCTCGTGCTTGTGTGTGTGTGTGTGTGTGTATATATATATATTCACTCTTTAACTGACAGTTTTTTTTAAAAAAATTTTATTTTCCACTTCAGTTTTACATTCATGAGCAAAGACAATGAAATTTATATTACATTATATTAATCAGAGTTTGGTTGCACTACAATAATCTTCTAGGGCTCTATTTCGCCGGCTCCATGGAAATGTTCTGAAGAGTTCTTCTTGCATCAAATTAGAAACAGAGATCCTCTAAAAATTGGGTGAGTAAAGTGTAAATAAATGCAATCAATGATCTCATAATCCTGCAGTTCTTCTTCTTCGTCTTCGTCTTCTTCTTGTGTACTCGATTTGCGTGGTTTGCAGATTTCCAAACGTATGGGCGTTGCGATTGGTGCGCCAACTGCTGCGTTGGGATCCTGTGAGTTAGCCCGGAATTATTTGTCCGATTTTGAAATTTAGTACCAAAACTTATTTAAAGGACTTACTTGAACTCTCCCTTAAAGAATAAGTTTTTTTTTTAAAAAAAAAGAGTAAATTCTCAAAATAGTCCTTTGTAATAAGGGATTTTCCTAAATTAGTCCTCAGTAAGTTTTAATTACCTACATGGTCCTCTATAATTGAGATTTATTCCCAAAATAGTCCTTTGTAATAGGATATTTTTCCAAATCAGTCTTCAATAAGTTTTAATTACCTAGGTGGTCCTTTATAATTGAGATTTATCCCCAAGATGGTCCTTCATAAATAATGTTACTCAAATGAGGATTAATTGAGGTTATTTTTTTCTGCTAAATTTAGAATTAATTCTTAAAATAATCATTTATAATGAAATGCTTTCCCAAAATGATTTTTCTAATTAAAGATGTGTATTTGATTTGAAATTTAAAAGATTTTTTTTAAGTTTTAAATAATTCATAAATTATTTATACTCAATGTATTTTTTAAATTTTACATTTAGTTGTACAAAAATGATTGTTTCAAAAATATACTTTAAATTTGGATTATCAAAATACCAAAATATCTCCCAGTTAATCCTCATTTGAGGATTGATTTGGGAAAACACCTTATTACAAAGGACCATTTTGAGAATTTACTCACAAATAATTTATGAATTATTTAAAACTTAAAAAATCTTTTAAATTTCAAATCAAATACACATCTTTAATTAGAAAAACCATTTTGGAAAAGCACTTCATTATAAATGATTATTTTAAGAATTAATTCTAAATTTAGCAGAGAAAAAATAACCTTAATTAATCATCATTTGAGTAACATTATTTATGAAGGATCATCTTGGGGATAAATCTCAATTATAAAGGACCACCTAGGTAATTAAAACTTATTGAAGACTGATTTGGGAAAATATCTTATTACAGAGGACTATTTTGGGAATAAATTTCAATTATAGAGGACCATGTAGGTAATTAAAACTTACTGAGGACTAATTTGGAAAAATCCCTTATTACAAAAGACTATTTTGGGAATTTACTCAAAAAAAAAGGGGGAAAGGTAAATGTAGATAGAGAGATAGTATTTATGTACTGGCTGGAATTAACAATAAATGCATTGTATTGGAATGAATGTAGGAGGATCGCCCCAGTGTGGATGAAGCTCTGAAGCATCCATATTTCTCAAAACATGCCCAGAATTGAGCTGCTGCTGGAAAGGTTCAAAAGTTCATTTACAATATGAATCTGTAATGTTAATAGCAATTAGTGGTTGTTGCTTAACAATACATAACTCAGAGCCAAAAAAAGAAACTTTTTTACACTGTTTTGCATTGCATGCCCTTAGAGCTTGTTTATGCCTTTCAAAGGAAGAATTATGTTATTGCATCCCAACACAACAGGTGACCGGGAAATCCACAGGTTCAATGGTCCAGCAAACTGAACGAAGTCCTATGTTAGTCAAGCACGGAACAAATCCTATTCGCGAATCGGCATGCTGCTAGTGAACCAAGGTTCACTTCAGCTATGGTGCCAAATCCATTGCATTGCATTGCCATCTTAGCAGCTATGGTGCCAAATCCATTGCATTGCATTGCCATCTTTCACATTCTTCTTGCATATCTTCCATATATTCGTAGTTGGATTTCATTATTTTTATAAAGTCCAATACATTAAATCAATTTATGTATAAGGATTTATAAAATGAGCAAGAATTTAAAGACCACAAAAGAACTTGTCTTAAAGAAACCTTTGTTTATCCCTTCGGTTAAATATTCAACATTCTTTTGAGTCCCTAAACACATCACTTCCCTTTTTGTTAAAAGAAAAAGGAACATGAAATCATATGCGTTCTAAAATCATTATTTGGTTGTTCCAAAATAAAATATGTAATTCATAATAAATTTTTTTCTTTTTAATCTCAACCAAATAGTTTTACCTTTTTTTTTAATCTATGAATATACAAGTGAAATTTTAATTTGAAATGGAAGAGTAACATCAAGGTAAAAGGAAAAGCTTCCTTTTAGGACTGGGAGTCTTAGAAAATAAAAAATATATAATATGAACTGAGAATGTTAAAAACCCACCACGCACGAAAATACATTTTATACATCTCTTAATGTATACAAGAATACAAGGCTTTTGCTCACTTTTAAAAAAAATTAAAGCAATTAAACATAGAAAAAGAAGGTTTGAGAAGGTTTTCGTAGAGACGAGAGAGATCTATGGGGGGAGTAGTTTCCCCACGTGCAAATCCATCTAGTCACGTGCCTCGATTCATCTCGAAGCTTCATTCGCCGCTTTTATCCCAAACCCATCGAACCGACCTTCCGTTGCTTACCCTCATCAACAAACTTTATGCCCGCTTCATTTCACTCTTTTCCACGCCAAAAGTATTCGGCGATCAATCGAAGAAGAAGAAGAAGAAATCTGCGCGCAAGTTGAAGAAGAAAGCGAGGAATATTTAGGTGTTTTCTGTGCGATCGATCGGGGGAGTTTCTGTGTGTGATCGGAAGAGATGTGGAACGCTAACGTGAAAAACGACCCGGAGGCCGGCAGGGCTCCGTTATATCCGACGATGATAGAGAGCCCGGAACTCCGGTGGTCGTTTATTCGGAAAGTGTACTCGATTGTAGCTATCCAGTTGCTGCTGTCCGTCGCCGTCGGCGCTGTCGTCGTCTCTAATCACCATATTTCGCGCTTCTTTACAACTACTCCCGCCGGCTTGGCTCTCTACATCGTTCTCATCATCACGCCTTTCATAGGTAGTACATATGTATGCTTCGTCTTTGATTTGATTTCTGCGATTTCAATTAGGGTTAGTGATTTTCATCGTGTTTAAACTAATCGTCGGCTGCCTGCTGCAGTGCTCTGCCCCTTGTATTACTATCACCAGAGGCATCCGTACAACTATGTCCTGCTAGGCGTTTTCACGGTGGCCATTTCCTTCTCAGTCGGATTGACCTGTGCATACACTAGTGGTGAGCAGCTCTTTTTTTTGTTTTTTCTTGGTGTCAGTTTCATGCTAATATTTTTTGAATGTGCGAATTGTTGCTGCAATGGAATTAGATCTTCTTGTTCATTCCTTTTGAAGATGTACCAGATAGGATTTGTGCATGTTTGGTACAAATAAAAGAAAATGTAGTTGTTAGATAAACTTTGAGTATCTTTGAAACTACAGCAGTGAAAATTTAGAACGGAGGCAAAGTTAGAGATGACGAAAATGACACCAGAGATGATTGGAATAGATGTGATAGAGATATTAGAAACATTGAAGATAAATTAATTGAAACAGTTAATGAAACGTAGATTGAATGAAATCCTAGAAGAAGATTTTTCTCATCTACTTTTTCGAAAAGAATTACTCACTTTGTCGTCCCAATGTGTGCTCGTGTACTAATATAGCAGATTAACAGAGATTGAGAAAGTGGAAACTGTGTGCTTGAGATTTATGTAGATGTGAGAGATATGATATGAACTAAATTATGATTTTTATAAATGGAAACAAACACTGTAAATTGAAACTTACCAAAATAAAAAAATTGGGAAGGAAACAGGATGTTCGCATTCTATATCAAACTACAAATCTTTTTCATGATAATTTCATCTAATCTAGATGCAATGCCACACCAATCATACATAGAGTCTGTAATTATATACTCAACTGAAATGCAACATCTTTTTGGTCGGCCTTTGACATTGCATGTATGTGTTAAAACTTAAACATAAACTCTCATCAAACATTTTAAGGAATTGCTTTTTGCACCTGTATTACTTTTGTGCTCTCTGTGATATTCTTATTACTTGAGGCGGGGGTCTCTTGGAAACAGCCTCCCTACTTTCGAGTAGGGGAAAGGTCTACTTACACACACCCTCCCCAGACCCTACTACCGTGGGATTCAATTGGGTTGTTATATCAATCCTATATTATAAATCAATATTAATTTCGTTTTTTGTTCCAAGTTCGTATGTGGATTGGTGGTTGGTTGGTATTTGTGACTTTAGAAGGGAATTTGTCTAAAGATCGGAAATTTAATCCTCTGCCTGATTGGTAACAGGGAAGGTGATCCTAGAATCAGCCATTTTGACAGCAGCAGTTGTGGTTGCTCTTACTTTATATACATTCTGGGCAGCAAAGAATGGCTATGATTTTAGTTTTCTAGGACCGTTCTTGTGTGGCGCTATCGTGGTGCTATTCTTGTTTTCAATAATCCAGGTTTCATTTTGTTCACCTCATTTCATCTGTTGATCTAACTTGATGATTGAACAAGTAAAGCTTAACATGCCCATGCTTTTGTTCTGCAGCTGTTCTTTCCTATGGGGAAGATCACAGTGATGATCTATGGGGGTCTGGCATCAATCATATTCTGTGGGTACATCGTGTATGACACGGACAACCTTATCAAGCGCTACTCTTACGATGAATACATATGGGCTGCTGTTGCACTGTACCTGGATGTCATCAACCTATTCGTATCACTCTTGACCATTTTCAGGGCTGCTGATAATTGAAGAGAGTGCAGTTAGTTCTCTTCTTCCGTTCTCTTATTTTGCAATTATCATAATGAATCATTTGGACTGCTGTTGGCAAATATAACAATGAATTGTATAGTTGTATGCACTGGAATATTTGTATGATTCCCGCTTTGATTCCTCCCTTTCCACTCTCCGTGCTTTTTGCCCTCTTTAATGCAAGTCACTTTATGGTATGAAAGCTTGTTTACAGTGTGTTTGGTAGATGAGAAATGTGATGAAATTGCTTTTTCAATATATATTCAGCTGTCCCAAGAATCTTACTTCGGGTGTAACACTTTAATTTTTGTGAACTGCAGCATACCCTTAAAATTTCACCTCCAATACCCTCCCCTCCCCTCGATTTCAAGCCCTCCGAATCAGACGGAATCTCTTTTTAATTTCTCCCCGTCTTTCTTCGTATCTCTTCTTCTTCTTCTTCTTCTTCTTCTTCCTCTTCTTTTCTTCTTCCCCGTCTACTTCTTTGTCTCCCGCTCCATCTCTGTAGTCTGTACTCTCTGTCTCCCTATGCTACCCCTGCTGACTCTCGACTTCTTCCTCAAAGCTTCTTACAAAACCAAGAGAAACACATCTCCATGGAAATTGGTGCATGGGAAACACATCAAAGATTAGCCCATTAATTTTGTAAACCTACACTTTGAATACACAGCACAGTATAGTACTGGTAGTAAACACGCACCAGCACTGAGTTCATATTGCAATTTCAATTATTAAAGGGATAACAACTGAAACCCTCACCAAGAGATAGAACGACGGTAGACAGAGAGGGATAGCGACTTCAAAGATGAGTTCAGATCGCAATTTCTCCTTTGAAAAATTTTGAGGCCTTTCCTTCCACTCCTAAAGCCAAACAAGGTGAAGGAATACTTTCCCCTCCCCTCCCATTCCCTTTCATCCCTCCCCTCTCTTTCCTTTCCCCCCAACCAAACAGACCCTTAGTCTTTAGGGAACCATCTCATCAAGGAACAACAAACAATATTAAGGGCAAATGGGTCTTGTATACCAAAAGTTGAAGTATATTTTGGGATGACTGATGAAAAGTCATAGCGGAAAGATTTTAAAAGACTGAGGAAATACTAGTAGTTGATTAACCATTGTTTGATACTTGATTTTACTTTTTGGTATTGATGACACATTCCTATTTCACAAAACACTTAGGCGCCATCGTCCCCATCAACGTGAACGCTGGTAGTATACCACTAGAATTGAACTCTCTATATATATATATGGAGGGATAAAAGCCATTTGGTTGAAGAAGATAGATGATATTTCAACCAAATGGTTTTTATCCCTCCATTTCACGCCGATACTATACACATATACGGAGTTTGAGAATATATGTATTCAATAAGGCAAGCTGAGGCCAAGGAGATGATTCTCTCTTACATTTAATTCAGTAGTATATCTTTTGTTTACACTGTGATGCCTTCTAAGTTCTAAAGGTATTCTTTTTTTGTTAGAATAGTTCCATACTTGGCTTCTCCACATTGCATTACATAAGTGACAAAGTATCATCATCCACCATATATATCTCCTTTCCCCTTCCTAATTTCTGTGATCTTATATATTCTGTTAAATAGAGTGTGTGTGTGTGTGTGTAGAGATATATATACACACACACACACATACATATATATACTGTATTTAATTGTGGAATCTCCTCCTCCTTTCAGCAACGATATAGAGAAGTCTTGAGACGCCTTGAGTCCACATCTCATATTGTTTCAAGTCCTTGCATTCAAACTCAACCACGCCGCGCACCTCCGTCCTCAACCCAAAGTATTTGCGTTGCACTCCGTCGTCAAACAGGTGCCTCCCCGGCCATGCCGGAATATCTTTGTACACTTCCAATACCACATCTGCATTTCACATGTAACCATTAACCTCAAAAATGATACTTAGGAATAAAAAGTAAAAACAAAGCAAAATTTAACAATTTTTCACTATTGGCAACAAAGTCATCTTTTAGTATTAGTTTTTGCATTGCACTCCCGTTTGGCAACAGTTTCAGCGTTTAGTTTTAGTAATTTGAAAATATTATGCATCAGACACCAACTTTTAGCTTCGAGGTTAATTGAAAATGCTACTTCCAAATGAGGCCTTACTTTCTTTCCTTTTGGTGATGGTGTTTCCCACATGTTTGCTCTTCATCTTCAACATCACCTTCCCGGTACGGTGAATGTAAACAGACACAACTTTCCAATGAAGATCACCTGGACCACATAAACAAACAACCCATATGTGTCAAACCAAGTGGTTTCTTTGTTGTTGCTATTATTGTGAAACCTTAAGGGTTCACTTGTTTACCATTGCGGGTTCTCTTGAGAAGCTCGCAGCCTCGGGCCAACAGTTCTTGGTTGCAGACTCCGAGGAAGTTCTCTTCGATGTCGAGTCCTTCGTAGCAGCCATTGTTGTTGTTGCCACCTGGTGTTCCCATTCCATTTCCCCTGTCTATGGGAATCACTGTTGAAATATTCCAAACTTCCTTCAATGCCCTTGCCTTCAGAGTAGCTGCTCCCCTAAGTGCTGAAACATGTGTATATATATAGTTACAAATACACTCTTGAAAGTTTTTAACAAGATTTATCTAATGAAATTGTATTCTTTCTATAATACTCCCTACGTTCCTTTAAACCCTTCCCATTTTGACTTTGGGCCAAAATAGGGAATGTGTAATTTTGGTTGACTTTCTAATTTTGACCTAATGTGATGTGTAAAAGTAAGATGTGATAGTTTATTTATTTGTGAAAAAGTATGGTGTGATATGTAGAGTATGAAAAAGTAGGGGCAAAAGCGGTTTTTTAATAAAAAATGGAAGTGTTTTAGGGAATTGAAAAAAACGAAAGTGAGAGGGTTTTATCACTTTTATGAAACGGAGGGAGTAATAAACAATAAATTTTTATTTAATTTATGCAACCTTACCGGTGGAAGCCGCAGCCGTGAGGGTGGAGATATCCTCGTGGGATTGGACGTTAATGGCGGAGTTGACTGAGGTCATGAGGCGGTCCCGGTCCGCTCCCATGGCTTCCGCGGCGTCCACGCATTGTGCGGCCACCAGCATCGCCGCTGAAGCCACGGCAATGTCTGTCTTGGCCGCCACTTCATCTTCTCCGGCGGAAGATGCCGCCGCCGTGCTGGCGGCGACGGCGGCCACCGAGGCGGCCAGTCCGGCGACGGAGACCGCGGCGTGGACCTGTGCGTTCCGCGCTCTGGCCTCCTCCTTCTTCTTGTTCCTTCTGTGCTTAAGCCACTTCTTGACGGTGTTGTTATTCCCAAGCATGGGACTGCTGGCCCCGCCGCTGCCGGTGCCGGTGCCGGTGCCGCCATTGAAGCTCTTTGTGTTTGTGAACAGCGGTAGCAGGGAGTTGTTTGCTCTCAGGTACTGCATGAACAAATGTGAGCTTTAGTACTGTTTTAAATCGGTTTTAGAATTTGGGTGCTTAAAAATGTCCCTAAAGGTTTGATTGTCTCTATTAATCTATTTTTTATTTGTATACCTTTAAAAAAACAAAACCTTTACTTCCTGGAGTTTATAATCTTTTTTTTTGTATTCCTTGAAAAATAACTTTATTTCTTGAGGCTCATAATCTATGATCATCCTTCTCTTTTTCACACATAAAAAAAAAGCAAAAGAAAATAGTCCATCCCTATTGCTCTTGGATTAATTCAAAGTTCAAACAATACAAATATGTTTTTTGATGGATCAAGTAAAGCAAGTCAAAAGGCGAAGGGAATATTAGAAAGGGTAAAGCATTGGATATAATAATAATAATAATAATAATAATAATAATAATAATAATAATAATAATAATAATAATAATAATAAATAAATACGGAGTAATAAAAAGCTTAAGAATAAAAGTGGAAAATTCCTAAATGGACTTACGATCCGTATAAAAACAATAAACTTGTACTCCGTAATATAATATAAACAAAATAACATTTATTTTATTCTTTATTTTTTTAAAATTTATTTCTGTAAAAAACATTAACAATTTAAAAAAAAGTAAATGTGTGTTTAATTCTTTTTAGGCCAAAATGCTTTGTAGTTTTCAGTCAACTTTGGATCATGCAATGCAATGGCGCCCGCAGCTTTAGAATGGAGTTTTCACTCAGCTTTTGATCCCTCACCTTTGGATCAAACTATTGCACACACACTTTCACTCAACTCCAACCTTTTAATGATTAGTATATAAATAAAAACATTTAAAAAAAATTACATCAAAAGGTTTAGAAAATAAGAGGTAACAAAAATATTTTACTTTATCAAATAATCAATGAGAATGTAAAATTAAACAAAAGTTTTCGTGATTTTTGAATAGTGAAGTGCGTCAATCTTTTTCGGACGTAAGAAATAAATATATAATGAAAAACTATTCATCTTGCATAATTAATGACAATTAAATGGAATGAGAACACAACTATTTTTGAAGACATTTGTCTTTCACACTCAAATATTTTTTTGATTTATACTCACTCCGTTTCAAATTAAATTTTTTGTTTACTATTCAAATGATCAAATTTCTTTCATTTTTTTCCCTATTTTCATTAATTATTTAATAAAATAATTTACATGTCACCACTAGTTTTGTAGATCTTTTAATGCAATTTTTATTTTTTAATTCTACCCTGTTTTTCATATAAAATAATTCGAATATAAATTTAGTTAAAATCATAAATAAAAAACAGACGAGTTAAATTGGTATAGATGTATTAGTGCATCCGTCACTCCATCTCCGAAAAATGTACGGCGTAATAATTATAATAAAATAAAAATGGTATTGGTGGAATTTCGGGCAATAAAAAGAATAAAGTGCTCTGATCCCAAGAAAAGAATAAAAAAAATAAAGAGCTCTCATCGATCAATATCATTGTCGTCCTTTTCGATTTATCCATATCAATCGTCGATGGTCTCATGTTAAAAAAACTGTGCAGATTCACTTTTTTTTTTGGGAGATTGATCCAAAATAATTTTGACTAGTGTCTTAAAGACCTTTGACGAGCCAACATAATTTAGAAAACGAGAATAAAAATGGTCGAAATTTACCCCTATAAATTAAATGCGGAGTAATAAATACTCCGTATAAAATTCTTTTTTAGATTGGGAAGTATATTTAGTGAAAGCTTGGTTTAAACAAAAGAAAAGGATGAGCCCATCTTCAAACCCATTTTTTTGTGGAACCTAGCCCACTTTGAATGCATTTTTATTTCGAAAATAAAATTATGTAATTGAGGCGAGTTTCCTTTATTTTA